CTCACACAGCGAGCCTGGGGTTTGCTGCCAGGACTGTTATCTCCTCGGCCTCGCTACCAAGCCATCTCTGTGGCATGTTTATCGTCCTTCCTGGACTATGGGAGCTGAAGGCTGCCGGGTGAGGATTAGCACCCCCGCACGCCCGTTGTGCACCTTGCTTGAGCGTCAGTGCAGAACAACAAAGCCTTTCTTTCCCTTGCAGTCAATTTGCAGGACCTGTGCAGGCTCAGGGGAGACACGCCGGGGTTTCTGGGCTGTCCCCTGGCCCTGCAGGAAGCCGGGGCTGGATGGCTTGAAAGCACTTTTCTGCCACTGAGCCCTGGGAGGCCCTGGTGAGGCAGACAGTTAATGCGCTCAGCTGCTACCAAAAGGTTGGAGAGTCTAGTCCAGCCAAAGGTCACTCGGCAGAAAGTCCTGGTGATCTGCTTCTGAACAGTCAGCCATTGAAGCACAGCTCCACTCTGCACGTGGCGTCGTCTTGAGTTGGAATCAACTCAGTGGCAGTTGGTTTGGTTACTTGGCTTGGGGCCTATAGATTCCTGCTTCATTCATCAAAATGCCACCTTTCTCAGAATCCTGTGGTCTAAGCCCCACCTGGTGTGCCTTGTTAAGGACAGTCACAGCCATTGTCCCTTCCACCCCTCTTTCAAAAGACAGGAGCTTCCTTCAGGGTCCACTCAGCTCCAAGCCTGTAAGACCCAGCCGAGGGACAGGAACGTGCTCACCCACCTGGCAGGACAGACACCTGGGGGCACCCAAGCGTGCAGAGAGGGCTGTGGCTTCCTCCTACTGTCTTCAGAGGGGGAACCGGATCCATCTGTTAGTTCAGAGCCGGTGGCTGTACTTCACCTCTGAGTTGTCGCAAGCTCTACAACAAAGCCTCTGTTTAGAAACCCTTCTGTGGAGATGAAAGATCAGGGGGCAACAGAGGAAGTTCTATTTAAACAGGTTATTCCTCGTTCTAAAAATGAACTCATCACCCAAAGAGTTTAAAGTTGTAAGAAAATTTTCAAGGGAAAAAAAAAATTATTGTATGTGTTTCCCCATCTGGGTCACCCTTTGTAGTAAGATGCTGGAATTTGGAACCTAGGCCCTGGTTAGGGTCTGGCCCCTGCCTTGAGGGCTGTGAGGGGCTAGGTGCGAGACAGGCCCCCTGCCTCTGCCCTTCCCGGGGCGGCAGCCTCCGAGCTCTTTGGGGTTGGAGGCGGGGGGTCATTTCATTCATACCCGAACAAACCTCTTGTCCCCTCACTTCCTCCCACCCGGAGGGCCACCTTTACCACACCCCTATCCCTGCCCAGGTGTCTGGAATCACCCAGAAGATGCATCTGGACTTGGAGCAGCACCTGGCCCGGCTCAATGAGATCTTCGCGGCCCGCGGTGACTACATTCAGACTCTGAAGTTCATGCAGCAGATGGCTGGTAATATCATGACCCAGCTCTCGAGACTGCCTGTGTGGAGGGACGTCACCACCGAGCTGACCGAAGTGGCCAACGAGACCAGCTATGTGGAATACTACAGGTGAAGGGCCTTGTGAGGCAGGGGGAGGGGGAGGGGTGCGCCAGCCTGCCCCACCCACGCCTGCCCCACCCACGCCTGCACGTGGGGCTCAGGCTGAGAAGCGCTCCTGTTGTTGGTAGGTGGTCAGCTCCGACTCCCGGCAGTCCCACCGTGCAAAGCGGAACTGTGCTCAGTAGGGCTTCTGTGGCTGTGACCTTTCGGAAGCAGATATCCAGGCCTTTCTTCAGAGGCACCTCTGGGTATTCAGATCACCAACCCTTCAGCTGCTAGTTAGGTGCTTAACCACTTACACACCCAGAGACCTGAAGTGCCCTTACCGCATCTTTTGCCATCGACTTAATCCCAACTCACAGCAACCCTGCAGAACGGAATAGAGCTGCCCCCAGGGATTCCGAGGTGGTAATCTTTATGGGAACACATCACCAGGTCTTTTCTCCCATAGAGCAGCTGATAGATTTGAACCAATGACTTCTTGCTTAGCAGCTGAGGGCTTAAGCCACCGAGTGGAAATCAGAAAACATGAGCATTTGTGAGGTTGAGTGGTGGGCGTGTAGAGCAGCCCCGTGATACTATAGACTGGTGTCCCATGGAGGGCAGTAACTGCCCGGATCCCAGTGCTGAAAAAGCCCTGGCCTCGCGGCAGCTCCTTGCTCCTCCGAGGTCAGCCTTCCCCACAGCTGGAGCTACGTAAAGCACTTCCTGGGTTCCCTGGCTGCCTGGGTTTATGAAGAGTGTGTGATGCAGTGTAAAGACAGAGTAGGCACAGACAGGTTACTAGGTCTATGTCAGTAACAAGGGGCCTAGGTCAAGACGGCTGCAGCGCTGGGGTCTCAGCAGCTGCAGACTTGGCCTTGGGTGCAGAGCCTGCAGAGCAGTGGCTGCTTTGCCTGCCTGGAGCCTCCCTGGGTGGTACCTTGTAGCAAGCCATCATGCCCCCAAACCCACTTATGTCATCCTGAGCAATGAGGGGATGCCCGGCCCCTCCCCACCTTTAGCAACTCGTACCTCAGTCAGCTAAGCTTAGGGGTCTACTTATGTCTCCCTAGCCTCCCTGTCTTGCAAACCTTACCCTGGTGAAGGTACTGAATGGTCAACCCAGGGGCCAGCAGCCCTCCCTCCATGTGCAGGCTCTAGTGGGGGTCACTCTGCAGACAGTGGTCTTGGCCTTGGGTGGCTCCCAGCCTGATGGTGACATGCACCTAAGGAGTGCCCAGTTTGCGCACCCAGGGCACCTAGCATAGCGCTGAGCACAAACAGGCACTGGGCTAGAAGGAGTAACCGAGTCAGAGAGAGAAAAACATGGCCTATTAGTTGGCTCTTCAAACCATTGAACAGGGCCAGGGCCTTTACTGGCAACGCTGCACATTCACTGTGGCTTTCTGGATTTGTATTCACCTATCCGGCCCCACCCCAGGAGGTCACTGCTGGACTGATACTGAGTCCAGATTAAGTGCTCTTGATGGTCTCTGGCCAGGGACCTTCCCACCCCAGGAGAGACGTCCTCTCTGTCTGAGGTTCTCAGACTTGAGCAAGTGTCAGAATCACTTTACAGAAGCAAAGCCCAAACCAAACCCACTGCCGTGGAGTTGACTCTGACCGACAGCACCCCTGTAGGACAGTAGACCTGTCCCGTATGGTTTCCAAGGCTTCTTGACAGAGGCCAAGTGCCACAGCTTTCTTCTGAGGAACGGCTGGTGGTTTGAACTGTAGACCATTCAGTTAGCAGCCCCCACTGTGCCACCAGGGCTCCTTGAATCACTGGTGGGCTTGTTAAGGCAAATCACTGGGCCCCACTCCAAGGTGCTAGCAGCAGTGCTGAGGTTTGCATTTCTAGCAAGTTCCCAGGTGATGCTGATGCTGCAGGTCAGGAACCCCTTTGAGAACCACTGCTGTGTCCCATCAGACAGCAGTCCACCATCTTCCTGGTCCTCCCTAGCCTTATCCTGGCCTAACAAAACCAGACCAAACCCATGGCCATTAGGTCGTTTATGACTCACAGCAGCCCTTTAGCCATAGCCCTGGCCTGGGAGGCCACACTGCTGTGCTGTCACAAGGTAGGAGATGGCAGGGCCTGGAGCTCACTGACCCGAGGCCCTGGCGGGAGCTCCCCATCCTCTGTCCCCAGGCCCTCCTGCCCTGCACCTCCAAGACGCCATGGAGAGTCCTGACGGGAACCTCAGCCCAACGTCCCGCTCAGTGGGTGTGCCTTTGTAAAGATTTCTCTCAAGTGGTAGAAAGAAGCTGCACATGTTAAGGGCTGTCTGTGACCCTGCGACTCAAAACAGTGGTACCTGGTCGTCCTGTGCCACGTGGGCTAGTCATTGCCTGAGCCTGTGATATCTCTGCCATTTGAGGGACGGAGGGATAAGAACCAAGTGTCCCTTTTGACCCTCTCATTCTCTGGGTGCATCTGACATTGGACCATGTACATTTTAGGGCTGAGTGTAGGCATTTGAAGGAGCTGTGGTGGTGTAGTGGGTAAGACACTTGGCTGTTGACCAAAAAAAAGGTCAGTGGTTCAAACCTACCAGCTGCTCTGCAGGAGGAAGATGAGACAGTGTACTTCTGTAAAGATTTATAGCCTTGAAAACCCAATGGTGGTTGCTAGGAGTCAGAATCAACTCGACAGCAGTGGGTTTTGTAAGTGTTTATGTGGGTTTCAGGAAGCTCTGGTAGCATAGTGCCTAAGGCACTTGGCTGCTAACCAGAAGGCTGGCAGTTCAAACCCACCAGCCACTCTTCAGAAGGAAGGTTGGGCAATCTACTTCTGTAGTGATACCGCCTGAGAAACCCAAGGAGGGGTCGCTATGAGTCGGGTCCGACTTGACAGCACATAACAGCAACATGTGGATTTCATTAAAAGCAGGAGACGTGGTAATTGCACAGTGGCTGTTTCCCTGTGGGTGCTTGAGGGGGGCCCCTGTGACTCCCCTACCCCAGCTCCTCACCCTTTATTCAGGTTGAAGCAGAGCAGGTCTGCCCCAGGTGTGGCTCCTGAAAAGCGAGGCTGTTCTGTGCCTCGAGTGTTTCTCACTCTCTCTCTCACCTGAGCCGCTTTAGAATCAAGGCTTCTTGTCCAGAGCTAACCAGGCTTCGGGGCTAGGACAGCACCCCATCCTGGCTTGCTGGACGGTTCTTAAGCATACCCATCCAGCTTCGTACTTCCGCGCAAGGGTTAAAGCCAGGGGACAGCTAACCTCCGAAGGCTTTGCACTCCAAGGCAGTAAGACGTGTGCACGGGTCATATCAGCCCAGGGCTGGATGAGGGAGGGGCCGTGGGAGTGAGGGCAGAGCGGCTGGTGAGAGCCAAGTCCTTGGTTAGAAAGCCACGTGCAGCCATCGCCCAGCTCCCCTGGGAAAAGCAGAGCTCGTTCCAGGAACCCGTTACAGCAGGAGGCTGCAGAGAAACATTGAGACATCACAGGCAAAGTGGATTAGACAGAGTCCTAACTGAATTTCCTGCTGATGTTAAGAGTAGAGGAGAGGGGAAAAAGGCATCTTTGGGTTTGGAACATGAAGCCGGGATGTTGAGAAGAGCCTCTCACTGGCTGCGACCCTGGTGGGAGAGCTTTCAATGGAGAGCCCGCAAACTCTGGAATGGGCTCAGTGTTCCAGTCTGTAGAATGGGTTTCTAATATGAGCTGGTCCCCGAGGCTCCATCCAGCTCTGATTCTGTTCATAAGAAAACTGCTTGTTGGTGGCCTCCTTGGAGTGGAGACGGTCTGCTGTTTCCTCGAAGCCCCCAACTCCTTTCCTGGGAAGCCCAGATGTCCACAGTGGGCGCTGCCCTGCCCAGTGCTGGGGGTGAGGATTTTGGTTAGGCCTCTTGGCGTGAAGCCTCATATCATATTAAGGCAGAGAGAACCTGTTGGAGGTGCTGGGCGGGTTCCAGCTTGCTCCCTTCTCCTCCGGCCTCTTTGTTGAGTTCTTTCAGTGCTAGACCACTCCCCGCCCATCGTCCAGAGTCTCTCTCGCCTGCTTTAGGGTGTTGTTGGATGCTGTCAAGTCAGCCTGACTCGTAGTGGCCCTGTGTGCAACGGGACAAAGCACTGCCGGGTCCCGCCCCATCCCCCCAGTCCTTGCCATGCTTGAGCCCATCGTTGTAGCCACGGTGTCAGGCCATCTTGTTGAGGACCTTCCCCTTTTTCTCTGACCCTCCCCTTTACCCAGCATGACATCCTTCTGCAGGGACTGGTCCCTTCTGACCACATGACCAACGTAGGTGAGACCAAGTGTGGCCACCCTCGCTTCCGAGAGCATTCCGGCTACTCTTCTTCTAGGATAGATTTGTTCATTGTTCTGGCTGATTGTTCAGTTTTTGGCATTCTTCACCAAAACCACAATACAGAGGCATCAACTCTTCTTCGGTCTTCCTTTAGGGTGTTAGGAAGCAGAAAGCCATTGTTGAGAGGAGGGAAGGGGTCAAAGAATTTATTTGGCTCTTGAATCAAGAGAGATCATGATCAAAAGACTTCCCTCCTTTGTGACTGGGGGAAGTGGCCTGTCTCGACCTCCACTCCATTCAGCCCCTCCTCAGAGTGGCCCACCCAACAGGGCAGTGGAAGGAGCAGCTAGATAAGGCTGCCCAGGGTTGGAGGTGTCCTTCAGATTCTCTTTGGAAGGAAAAGGGAGACAGTTTGTCTAGGATCTTCTCAGTGCCTTGGGCTTAGTCTTCCTCATTCTTCAGCCTGACTTGGGAGAAGCCAGAGAGGAGGGACTTACCACCCTTCTGTGAGACTTCATGTTGACCAGGGGTGCTTGGGTGGTGGCGTGGTTAAGGCATTTGGCTGCTAACCAAAAGATCAGTGGTTCAAACCCACCAGCTGCTCAGCAGGAGAAAGATGAGGCAGTCTGCTTCCGTAAAGATTTACTGCCTTGGAAACCCTATAGGGCA